TTGTAAGTAGAATGCTAGTGAAATGTCTGGTAAAATTTCAAAGAGCTCGTAAAATTCTTCGAAATTCCGCGTTGTCCCACGATTACAATATTTTCAGGATAAATTTTGAAAGAAAATTCTCTCCGCGTGCCGGCACAAAAAGTCTGTATACTGTGTAAATAGGAAGGTCATGCTTCTCTGGTTTGCTCCTACTTGATTTTAGTTTCGTTTTCCGCGTAAACGAAAGGATTCTTTGGGAGGGACAGCCGCGTGTAAAAAATACCGCGTAAATCAAGGAATAAGTGTACATGCTTTCTGTACCAACTATATCGATACTTGGATCGATACTTTTGCCTTGCGACATGTATATGTTGGTATACATGCTTTGTTTTTAATTTTATATTTTCGTTTTGAGCTGCTAAAGATACTTATTTTACGTTTATAGTTTATGCGCGCATTTACCATACGATGTGCCCGTAAAACGATGCATATTATCAGCAAGATCTTGCTATTTTAATTTACATTCCATCATATTTTTACGGATATTTTATGTAGGCTTCATCGTCGAATTTTTTCATTCATTCGAGACCGAATTTCGCTACCAGTATACATTTTAGGACGCCCTATGTCCAAAACGCAGTAGGAATTCTCTTATAAGAGAAAAAGTTTTCGCTGTGGAGTTAAATTACAGTTAGATCCACTTAGTTTCTCCACCGTTCACAGAATTTAGAGGAATATCTGGCTAGTTAATTAAAATGCCACGTCAGAGAGAGCCATTTCTCTCTCGGCTTCAAGAATCCTTTGACGTGACCCCGGTGATTACATTCGACGTAGGCGAATACCTTGAAATCGTATATTAACTGCCTCGCTTCAATTCGGAATGCTCTCACCATCTTTGCGGATTCTGACTTGAATCTTGTACAGTCGTTTCTCTTCAGTTGAACGTACCTCGAGGCATCTGACTAGTTCCCAATTTCTTCATGAAATTGTCTACTTGCGTCAGAGCACTGACACGTCATCGGTGCTTTTCTTCTCGGATAACATGGACGTTCTCTCTTCCATCTGTATGTTTCCTGCGCTACCGTTTCTGCCGGGCTCGCAAGACAATTTCAACATACCCGGTTGAAGATTGACGTACCTGTGGGGCTCGTTGTCTTTGACGTTGGAATTCCCGTGAAGCCACGCTTGCTTCAAGACCGAGGCTCTCGTGGAATCTAGCAGAGGACTAGAACTGTCCTGCTCGCAAGACTGGCTGATCAGGGAATCCAAAGTCTGATCGTCGTCCTGCACGTTCAAGTCCAGCAAAAGGGGCGTCGGGGAGTTTGGAAGTTTCAGACTTTGTGTTTGCGAAGATGGACGCTGCGATGACCACAACATGGAAAATTTCCGACTGTTATCTGTCAGCTGTATATCGAGTTGCGCGGTGTGCTCCAATTGCACGCTCGCCAGCGGCACATCCAGACAAGGCGCGATAATGCGAGGATTCATCGCCAGGAAATCAACGATCTCGGGTGCCGTCGGCCTCTTCGTCTGATCCACGTTCCAACAGGAGTACATTAAATTCTCGCTGCAAATGGGATACGAAATATAAGCCGCCTGATAAACGAGATCGCATCGAAATGATTACGTACAGTTGCAGTTTTATTTTTGTCGGTGCGGTGAGACAATTGCCAGCCTTGACGTGCGTGAGCACTTCATTATTGCTCATCCCTTGAAAGGGGAAGCTGCCGAACGTGACGATCTCGTAGAGCAGCACGCCGTAAGACCATACGTCAGACGCTGGCGTGAAAATGCCCAGTGCCAGAGATTCCGGGGACATCCATCTTACCGGTAGCATGCCTGAGCGAAACAAATTTTGCGATACACTCGTATTAAATCATAATGCTGTAAAGATAAAAAAACAAGATTTGCATCGCCTCTCACCTTTCCGATTGAATTTGTAATAGTCATTTTCGTACATTGGCCTCGTCATACCGAAGTCACCGAGTTTCACCACCCGCTGGGCGTTCACCAGACAATTGCGCGAGGCGACATCTCTAACGGAGGGGGAAAAAAAGGATATTTAAGAACAATGTTCGTGATATTGCTAATATCATCACGGATTACGGTTAAATTTGTTTCAAGCACCTGTGAACGTATTTTAATTGCGCCAAATAGCTGAGCGCTCTGGCGACGTCTAACGCCATGGCGGTCAACTTTTTAGTCGAGATCTCTTCGGAATCTTCGTAGGTTCCATCGTTGACTAGGTTTCTTCTGGCCAACAGATAGGTTTTTAAATCGCCATAGAGCATAAATTCCATCACGGTCAACACAGGTTCGCACTTGATGCACACACCCAATAGCTTGATGATATTGGAATGCTCGAATTTCTTCATGACCTCGACCTCGCTGAGAAAATCGAGTTTTTCGTCGGTCGAGCTGCCGACTTTCAGGGTCTTCACGGCGACAGCTAGCCAGCCCTTCTGGGGAAAGAAAGCTTCGCCGCCGTAAACGGTACCGAAGGCTCCCTCTCCGAGTTTTCGATTGATCACTACTCTATCTCGAGGAATCTCCCACACGTCCAAAGTGGAAGAATTCATCTGTGATGATAGGATACCCAGGGACTCTATGTACTTTTTGTGGATCTGCATCTTTTTGTCGTAACTAAACAAGGAGCAAGATGCGATCATTTAATTTTTTAAAACACTACCTTGAAAAACTTGGTTCCCTCTCACCATGCAATTGCGATAAATATAAAGCAGTGAGATTGCAACATAAACGTACTTTCGTTTAATGAAGATAAAGCTGACGATCAAAACTGCTCCGAGAAGGCTGAAGCCTATAACATTAGCCACTACGATCGCCACTTCGCAAGAGGCATCTAACAATTCCGCAAATCCTCCTAGTACACATCTCGACGGAGGCTCGGAACCGTCATCGGGCATCGTCTCCGATAACCAAACGAAAGCCGAAATATTCAAGTCCAAAGTGCCGCCGATTACTTCTTGCTTGGCTTCCGAGATATTCGGATAAAAGTTACCAACAACATGCGTTTCATTGTCAAGGAACTGGACGATATTGATAACAGAGGATCTCGATGGCCCGCCTAGAAATTTTATTCTTCCGGATACCTGAAAGAAATATCGAGCGATCTTTTAGCGAAGACTTGCGGTACAATTCGCGATTGTGATAGATTATCTCGCATATTCTTCTACGCCGTTTAATAAGCTAATCGGCAAGTTTGGTCCACTAACCCCGTAAAAATCGGTGTCGCCGATAATATGCGTGAGACGATTGACCGTATGGTCGCTGTGAAGATCGAAAACGTAACTCTGGTTCTCACGGATGAGTCGATCTATGGCATAAGCGTAAGTCCACATGGCGTCGTAGGCGTAACCGGCGTAGTTGGAGGGTTGCTGATTCTGCGCTCGGCAGATGTTCTCGTAACGTTCGCGCCACTCACGCACAGTGATTCCTTCCTGCATTATATCGTCGTCCCGAGCGAAGTACGCGTGCGACAGGCCGAGGTGTCCGTTTATGGCCTTCATCATTTCGCTCGTGGTGCAAGGTACCTGCTCGTCTTTCTGATTATAGTAATCCGTATCGTACCATTGCGGCCGCAGCCAAAGCGGCAGGAACCAGACGTAACCCTTTAAAATACAAATAGTTTTAAAGCGCCAAAATTGCCGAATTTATATCTGTAATTTTGTGCTTTTATTCGAGAGAACTGGGCAAAATGTTGCAACTTTTAATTATTACCTGGACAGCTGTCATCTCTAGTTTATATGCCTCGCACATAACTTGCCGAGCTACCTCGCCGTACACGTCTGCGATAATAATTCTCGCTCGTTTTTCTTTCAATCCTTGCAAATACTGAAAATTAATATCAAGTAAAATTATTTATTACGGGGATTACCTACTTTTGCGTAAATTATTATTATTGCACGAAAGATATTAAAATTCCACAACTGCTTCTGCTCGCCTGAGTATCATATAATTTATAAATATTTAAATTAGTAGTTTTTAACAATAATTCATTGTTTCTATTATCTTTTATGCAAAACAAATTAACTTTCACAAGTCGAAATTGAGCGTACTTTCGTCATCATGTCAGTTTCTCTCTCCCTTGGAAATTTGACGTTCGCCACGAAGTCGATGCTGTTGTCCCTGAGCATGTCCTGCATGTACGATATGTACTCTGTGTACTTTTGTCCATCCTCCGTCAGTGAGGCCACTCGACGCCAACCTAGCCTCTGCAGGAGCTGCACATAGACGTGTTTGTACTGCTTGTTCTCGCCAATGGTCCTGAAGAAATAGGGATATTTGGTGCGATCGTCGAAGCTGGATCCCTCGGCGCTGTAGCTGATGATGACCGTTCGGTAATGTTTCGACACACCGACCAACGGCTCCACGGTTTCCGAGCAGGCCGGCCCCAAGACGCCAACCAGCTTCTGATAATAATTATGTATGATGTAGTCGATGAAGGACTTCATCACCATGTCCGACTTGCACTGGCCGTCGCTGGCCAACAGAGTCAAGTTATAATCTCTCAGCAGGGTATTGTTAACGTTGATGACCTCTTTCGCCATCTTAGCGGCGATCACAATTGACTTGGCCATGTAGGAGTTGCCGCTCATAGGAAATATGCCGCCCACGAAAAGGGTGTTCTTGTCATCGTTGCTGGGCTTCCATTCCGTTAGGGTATAGTTGAGATTATCCTTCAACCAATCGCAGGCGATCTCCTCGTCCGTGACATTCGCCAACGCTCGTACACGACGTGTGATCAAGTCCTCGTACATCTCGCGATTAAACTTGGCGCGATTTATCGCCTGGAAGGCGATCTTCGCGATCGCCTCCAACCTGCTCCACACCAGCTTCGTTAATCTGTTGGACTCATACGCGCAGCCGATCGAATTTTTCTTCGTTCCGCAACGTGGAAAATCGAGCGTTGTAAATTCCCTTTCATTCGGGACCACAGTGCTGGGCGTATAGTGCAGGATCACCAGCGATCTGGAAGAAACTTGGTTGTAAAACTTACAATAACGTTCCGCTTCTTATATGTAGTACTCATAATATCGACCGACGTTTCGAGCACGGCATATTCTTCGGAGCAATACCTGTTTTCGGCCGAAGCCGACGAGTTCTGCGCGAGTTGCATGTACTCCCTGGTCAAGTACTTGGTCAGATGCCTGAGATTCGGGCCCACCCACGCCACCTTGACGTAGAGCTTCATCTGATCGATGTGCTCTTTTACGAAATGAGTTACATCAGAGTATTCGGCTAGCAGCAGCGCGCAGCTCGGCGGCCTTTGTTGGCCTTGGCCGTGACATTGCTCCGGGATGTACATCCCGTGCTGGCAAAAGGCCTCGTGGCAGTAGTATTCCCCCGTGTTCGCTTTCATCATGAACTTTTTCACGATCGGCAGATACGCCTCGTCGACGGCGAATCTGCTCGCGGTCACCAGCTTGGAGAAGATCAGCCAACTATCATCGGGCCTGGCCAATGCTTCCGGGACGAACCAGCCGAAGTGACCCGGTGGCGCTATCGAGCCGCATTCCTTCACGTCGTATTTGTTCAACAGCGGCGACGTGTCCTGCTGCGGCGGAATCCACACTTCCATGTTCACCATCGTTTCTGGAAATCTGTGATTGAGACGGGAATGTTAATCGCTCGATTCCAAGCCCGCCGTACGCTTTCGACGGAGTTTGAAAGTGATGTAAGTCTGTTGGTTGCAACAGTTCGATCTTTTAACGGTACTCTTCAAAAACTAGAGGAGATATTGAATTTACCCCGGAATCATCGATAATTTATAAAATCATCGTGATTGCCTAACAAAAAGAAGACCACTGAATTTAGAAACTAATACTTTACCATGTTCTTGCGAACAATCGACATATATCGCAGTATTTACAAAGCACTCAAAAGGAATTTGACGCGTTGGCAATGCTTGCAAAGTCTTGTGCTCCGGGAAGACAGTTTGTTTGAAGCATAAAAATAAATATCATTAAATAAGGTCTGAAAGGCGGCCCGCGAGAAACTTGATTGCTGTCAATAAATACATCCTGAATATTTGCCGGAGAAAGCACCGCCATCTCCGGATAGAACGTAATCGCTCGGCGAAGAAGAGTGTGTTTGCGATAAGTGGGTCTCGGTTAATTTAACCGGACAGCCGTTGACATAATATGACATAGTATTCTTACACGGAGAGAATTTTCTGTTATTTACCCCGACAGAATTCTCTCCGTGTATGAATCTGCACACACCAAATTGTATATCTCATTTGTTTCGTGCAAATGTCACGAAAAGTTCGTCCATTTACGCGCTTACTGGAAAACAAATGGCTCAAAGAGTAGTTGCGATCTTACGCGTATTTGTTACACACATATTTGTTACGATCCAAGAATCGAGAAAGAAGGGCCGCGAGATATTCAAAGAGCCCTGCAGAGTGAAGTATGTTGTTACGCAGTGTCTGGAACTGTTCGTTCGTCTTACATTTTGTACTCGGTGTACCCTGGCCTTTCGGATAATCTCCCGAAGACCTCGGACACATTGAAATTGTCATCCTTCTCGACTATGGTGACTCCGGTGTAGCCCAACACTTCGGTCAGGAAGATCTTCATGATCTCCGACGCCAGCCTCTGCGTCACTCTTCTCGACACCTCGAACTGAATGTTCATGAAATAACCCTCGTGATGGATCACTCTCTTTGGATTGACCTCTGTGAAAAATTTCACATTAAAATATTTCGCAACTTCAGTGTTTTCTTGACCACGTCTGGCATTTTTAATACAGAAAATTTATCACGAAAAACATTACCTCGGCCAGGGTTTGAACCTGGACTTCCCTACACTCTAGGCGGGCGTCCCACCAATTTGACTACCGAGACTTTTTCACAATAAATTCTCTGCACTATTAAGGGGATGCTGGAGTGATTCTGCACTTTTGCACTTTTCTAACCTAAAAACTGTCAGTTCGCGGAAACATTTGTGTAATATACAAATTAAATGGCTTACGTGTACAAATCGAAAGCAGCTTGCTATTCCGGCCAAATGAAAGAACAATATGACATCACTGAAACTAAGTTTGTAAGTCTAATAAAAAATAAGTGAGCAACACACATACTACATGTACTGTATGTATGTGTTGCTCACTATTATTTTTTATTAGACTTACAAAC